ACTTTGATTTACCTACATTTCCTTCTCAATGGCAGACTATCAAATGCTTAAAGCCAGCTTGTTGAATGTATGGGGGCGAATCACAATGTTTATGACATATTTCACTAGTATAAACGGTAGGGAGTGCACAATTTACAAATGAGACTAACAGGCAACTCTCATTATTGTAAATATCATGTAGCCGTTTGATTCTCCGAGAATGTTTCCAATGATTTTTGCCAAATTCTTGTACTGTAGCTACCCTCTGATTACAACTGATGAAAGAGTATGGATATTGCTTAGTTTCATTTAAATTAATAAGACGGGAGAAATATGGTTGTACCATACCATAAATTAATTATTGATCCATGAATGGGGTTTCTGTCCTGTAACTTTTGTTTGTGTGTGTGTGTGTGTGTGTGTGTGTGTGTGTGTGTGTGTGTGTGTGTGTATTGGAGTGCCAGCTACCTATATAGTTAAGATGTTGCAAGTTAAGTATCAACATCCTCCCTTTACTGTTGAATCTAGAGTGACAATAGATCACAAACTATAGTGTCATAGTGGACTTCGCTCTAACTACGTCACACCACTGTCTTTGAGTTCAGTGCACAGTAGGCCCCACTAGACAGGACTTCAGCCATGCAGGCACAAGGTACAAACTTGAGTGCACATCACAGTGCAGCAGAGGAATACGAAACCTTGAATGGCATTTCATTTCCCTTTGCTTGTTAGATAATCCTCCATGTACATATGGTTATTAACAATGGCTATGCTTAACAACTGGCTTGTTTAATTTAAAAAAGAATTTTTTTTTTTTTTTTTTTAAAAAAAAAATTTTTTTTTTTTTTTTTTGAAAATAGGGCCTTGTTTGTCCTAGAACTCACTATGGGAATTGGGCTGGCCTTGAACTAACAAATATTCATTTGCTTCTGGCTCCAAAGTGCTGGCATTAAAGGCATGTGCCACTATGCCTGGCTTAATTTTGCTGACTCCATCCCCTTCCCATTTCCAGATACTTCTTTTCACTTTGTGATGCTATCCTATTGGAGAAAATTCACATTTGCAGAAACCTAGACTCCCAAATTCTCATGTCAGCACCACATATTAAAATGTTATCACTAGAATGATTTTAATGAAAAATTTAAATGACCTGTATTTATCAACACAGATTCTTTTGAAATATATTCTTGAACATTTGATATGTGCCTCTTCATTTTCATTGATATCACCAAAGCTACTTTGGACAAAAGTTTGAAACCAATTCTCTACTACCTGACAGATAAATCCAAATACACTGAAACAAACTGGATTTCAATGATTATTTTTTTTAAAGGCAGTGTTTCATATAGCTCAGGCTGGCCTCAGATACACTATGAACATATGAACACCGGATCCCCTGACCTCTAGCTTCCAGATGCTGTCATTACAGGCCTGTATTACCACTTTTAATTATTTTAGAAGAAAATAAGAGGAATGTGCAACTACTTTGGAGTAAGAGGAGACATTAGGACAGAAGAAATGTGCTTCTTTTTAAAATTCTCAATTTTTCTAGCCATTTTACACTTTGATTATAGTTTTATAACACAATAGGAATCACTATGCATTTTCTACACAATATTTAAGTTTTCTGCTAAATGGAATGATACTGAAGATAGTAATCCAAAATCAAAGACTGTGCTTCTCCTTTATTTGGAATTCTGTGGGATCTAGCAACAGCAGCCTCCCACCCCTTCCCGATTAAGGAAAGTGGGTATGTGCTACTTAAGACAACCCCTTTTAAGTCACTACACTAGAATACAAAGAAACACTATGTGTTAATACTAACAACTGTTATAATGGCCAAGGGTGGCTTTGGGGTCAGGCTGACAAGATTTCACCCTGGCTTTCTCATAGAGCTTGCGATTTAGGATTTAGTTAAATTAACCATCCTATGTCTCAGCTTCCCCATCTGGAAAAAGGGAAAACAATAAAACTCTGTTTTATATGGCGTATTACATAGGTAACCAAATCCAAGTGTATAACAGGGCACCCAGCATAAAGTAAGCATAAACTAGCTGCTATTGAAAGCCCTCAAAGAGAATTGTCACAGCATAAGGTCTCACTTAATTACTCAGGTACCAACTTTGTTAATAACTAAGGCTCCATGGATGTGAGCCACAGAAGACCATCAAAGCAAATAAATTCCACATTTAATGGTGATCGATCCAGTATCCTCAAACCCTGTGCTCAAAGCCTTGCTCTATTTCCTCCGGGTGCTTCCAGAGGGTCTACGCTTGTATGTTTGTGTCTTTGAGACAGGGTCTCATTATGTAGCTCTGGTTGGCCTAGAAAACTCTATGTAAACTAGGCTTTGACTTTGAACTTGTGGTGATGCTCCTGCCTCTGCCTGCCAAGTGCTGCCACATCTGGCCAGGTACAGCATCTGATACAGGTGGGCCTCATAAAGTTTATGTCTGAAACAATGCTTATTAATTTAAACATTTGGTAATTCCCCTTCCAAAGTCCTGTGCTGCAGGTCATTTATAATGCCTTTCCATTTTCTTCAATTTACAAGGTGTATGGAGAATTGAGGGAAGAGCCCATGATGTTAGGCTGATAAATATAGGTGGGGAGAGTTCCTTCAAGATGAGCCCTGCTCTCCTGGTGTCTTAGGGTTCTTTAGTATGGAACCTGAGATCTAGCTTACCTTCTCTGAGCCAAACATGGAGGCTTAGTCTATCATGGATGTTTTCTCCTTAACTTCTCAATTAATTTTAGTTAGCTTGATAGCATGATTGACTGAATACAGGTTAAATTTGGATAATGGTGGAAGGATGGTAGCTGGGTCTTATTTATGCTGATTGGTGGGGGGACAGTTTGGGTCAGAGAAGACAGTGAGAAGAAAGGGCTCAAGCCTGACTTATGTGCTACTTTTGAATCTTGGCTGGCTCCAGCTACAGACAGAAATCAAATGGCCTGAACACAACTTTTGCCAAAGAGTTACCTGACTATAGAAAAAAAAATAATTTTTAATTCTTTAAACTGCTCTGGGAAACAAGTATTAATAACCACCACCAGTTACTCCTCTGTTGTTTTCCATCTGGAGGAAGAAGTTCAAAGATTTTTTTTAGGCTAGGCTTTAAAACAATGTGCTTAATGTGGGAAAGAAAGCTACATCTACGTGACATTGACTGTGATAGGAGATCACTCTTCCTTCACCAGCAACGTGCCCCAGGTGTGATCACTGCTCAATTTTATTTGAGGAGACTTGTAGACAGAAAAAAACTTTTGCCAGGTTCAAAGGACTCTTCCATGACACTGATGCATTTATAGATAGCTTCTGTCTGATGTGATTATTAAAAACTATTAAAGTTGGAATATTCTTAAATTATTAGATTAGCTAAGAAGGTAAAAGCATATTTGTGTTCTTGGTATTTAACACTTGGATATTTGGCATTTAGCTTTTGCTTCCCTTTTGGAAACCCATTGCCTTTCAAGTTGCAGGAGCACTGCTTTGAGAATATAACGGGGCAGAGTGTTTACAAGCTCGCTGCTTCTTGGGTGGCTGTGGTTCGTGCCTGATGATTAACACTGCAGTTAAGGCATGGCACAGGCCCAGCATGACACATCTTAACATGTTTTCTGGTTGGAAGGGGGATTTACCAAGGTTGGGCAAGTGGTTGAAAACATGTGTATGGCTGTTTTAAAACACAAAACTACCAACATGAAATGCTCACAAAATTGAACCATTAAAAATTCTTAGAAACCTGAAACAGCAGGCTGACACTGTCTATTACAATGGCATCAGCAACCAAAAGCACAAAATCCACCGTACTTCAAACAACATTCCTCCTCAGAGTTCTAGGAATATCATTTGATACATTTGCTGACATCAAAAATGAAGTAGGTACCAAAATGAGATTAGAGGAAACAGGGAAATACAAATGCAAAAGGAAACGAGAGAGACAGGGGTTGTAACAGGCACCAACATAAGGAGCTCCTTGACTGCTGAATTCTACATGGAGAGCACAGAATGGTGACGTTTTTCAGTGGGCTGATATTAGAAGTGTAAGCTTTATGCATATTTTTAAGTTCTCAGAAGACAGAACTATACTTGTATAACTGAGTTCAATAGTAATGGAAAATACCACATGATAGTGTGCTAAGAGGGAAGGTTTTATGATTCATAGTGGGGAAGTCTGTGACTCGGACATCTGTAAAGACAGGCACTATTTTCCTGAAATGGTTTTTTTCACCTATTATATAAAAGGCAGTTTTAAAGATTATAAATCTCAGGAGGATGCATCAAAAAGCATTTCAAGAGGTGACCATCTCTGGCCCTGAAGGAAGGCAGCGTGCCGACATTTCAGAGCATGCGCCAGCCCGAGCACCAAGTCACTGTTCATACATGCCTCAGATTTATTTTTGGCACTACAAAGTCAAACGTGCTTTTAAAAATATTATTTTCTTAATTTGTTTTCTGTGGGCAAAAATATCAAAAGAAAAGCATAAACTGATCTCAGGGAAAAAGCAAACCACAGGAAGAAAGCCGTCACGTGATGTATTTGCCTTCACAAAGGAATCTTTACTCGTGATTAGAGCCTTTCAAGCCTCCATCATTCAGGATGTGAAATTCTAACCCAGAAGCATGGCCAGGGGAGGCTGTGACTTCATCAAATATGCTGGCTGGCGCAAACAGGAGGCGGTTTCCTGCTTCCTTACTTGGGGATTGCATCGCAGACTGGTCCCTCACTTGTAATTATGGCACTCACTTGCTGTGCAAGCTGAGAAAACTCTGGAGGTGTGGGGGGAGCCAGGGGCACCAAGCTGAGTTCACTAGATGAAAAGTTCCATCACCAGCTCAAGTCCGTCTCCTTGGTCTTTAGGGAATGGCTGAATTATATAAAGCCTATTTATAAACCCCTGCAAGTGATACTTGCCTTCGTTTCATAATGTGACATCATCTCATCAATAATTTAGGCCTAAGAAATAGATTCCAGCGGGTCACACACGGAGAAGGAGAAGCCACCCAGTCCTCTTACCTTGCTCTTTGATCTGGCGAATCTGCTTCACAGTTTCTTTTAAGATCGCACATTTGTCAGGTTTGAAGTTGAAGTTGTCAATATCATTAAAATTTGCAAAAATCAGCTCTGCGAGTTCTTCTATGTACTTATTTTCCTGCTCACGATTACGTTTCTCAGTGCTCCTTTTGGGGCTAAGAAGGAATGTGGCATTACTACTTATCTGAAAAAGCTGTTACTAAAATGCCAAACAACTTTTAATGTGAATATAGACAACAAAGTTGCCTATTAACTAAAGCAGCTAAGGCCAAAGGCATAATTTGTCCTAAAGTATTGCATGCTTTATTTTTTTTGAATTCAAAATGCATGTATTAATAAACTCTCAGAACATTAGGATATAAAATAATTTCTTAAATCTCATAGTCTACAGAATCTCAATCTCATAACATGTTTCATGATAAAATGCTGTACATTTCCCCACTACAAGAACAATGCAAGAATGTCCTTTTTTATTACCATCAAACGACTGGCAAAATGCAAAAAAATAATCAGAGTTCAAATGAACTTTAACAGCTGGAGAAAAATATCAAAACTGCCAAAATCTTATCATTTGAATCTGACAAAGTAACAGAATTCCAAAGCTCCTCTTGAAAACAACAAAATTACTTGTTCAAGTGCAGTGGAGAAGTCCATTAAATGAGCTCCAAAACAGTACCAAAGGGAAGAAACTTGAGTTGTTTAGTTTTCTGTATTTTGCAACTTTCTGTATTTTTAGGTGTAGTTATTTATATGTAATATTAATTTAGAAATTTGTGAATTCGGGCTTCTCATGTTCAAATCTAAATATCAGCTTTACTTTCCTAAATTAACAAAGCTATGATGTTTACACAATTCTCCCCTTATAGTGTTTCCATGAGTTGCCCAAGGTTACCCAGTGAATTTCTGCAGGGCAGGGCAGAGAGGGTCTGGGTTTTGTAGGCCTCATTTCTGCATTTGTTCCTTCCTTGTTTAGTAAGCAGTCATAGGAAGGAGGTGGCTGAATGAAAGGCTAACAAGAGTCCAGTTCCCAGGCTGGCTCCTTCCCCAGTCTCCTTTCTCTCCTAGACTGGGAAAGACATAAATGACAAGTAGATGAGAAAGGGAACTGAGTTACAAAGACACTTGAGAGAGCACAGGGAAGGGCCTCTCTCATTGCTAGCTTTAAGAGACAATTCAGCCTCTTGTCCTTCCACAGGGGGCATCAAAGCACGAAGGGAAATCCAGGAGCTAGCAGCAGGTAGAGTGTGCAGAAGTCCTGGGAACCTGAAGGCACAAATGGAGGCAGCAGGGCTGGGTGTGGAGAGGGGGACTGGGGTGTGGCAGGGGAGGTACCATGGCAGCAACAGCCTCAACCATGGGTTTTTCAACTTCTTCCCACTTCTCTTGGTAACTTCCTAGCCCACATTCCCACTGTTTCCTGTCTAATTTTTTTTAAATCACACACTACAGAAGTGCTGTTTGTATTTAACTTTAAAAATCACTTTATAGGATTTAAAATATCAGAAGAGTGAAAAATGTCTTTGTGGTGGTTTAAATGAGAAATGTGACCACCCCCCTTCATAGGCTCAGGCATTTGAATACCTGACCTCAGTTGGTGGCACCGTTCATGGAAGGAGCAGCTTTGCTGGAGGAAGTGTGTCACTGGGGGCAGACTTTCAGAATGAATACTTGTTCTCTACTTCTAATTTATTCTCTCTGTTTCATGCTGTGGTTGAAGATGAGCTTTCAGCTTCCGGCTCCTTCCACAACCATGCCTGCTGCCTTCTGCCCTGTCTCCCTGCCCTGATGGCCTCTTACTCCTTTGCAATTGTAAGCCATGTGAACTCTTCCTTTTACAATGCTTTTGGTTGTGGGGTTCCATCACAGCAGTAAGAAAGCAAACCAGAACACTCTTCCATCTTAATTTCCTTTTTGTCTGGCTCTAATCCAAAGTGGGTGCAATGATCACTGTTTTCTGGTTACCCTACAACACAAATGCAGATGCTTCCTGCTCTTCCAATTTGTCCTTTTTCAATATAAAGGGCAGTACTCTATAAACATTTTTAACACTTTGTCTCTCACATCTTTTGGGATAGTATCTAACTATGTATGTAGCCTAGGTTGGCCTCCAACTCCCATGTAGCACAACTTGGTCTTGAGTTCCTCCTGACTCAGACTTTGGGGAACACTATCATACTGCCTCTGTGCTTCTAAAAATACTAACCTTGTTGTTTACCACAGTTGCACTGTGTTCCAGGGCACAGACAATCATCTTAAAATGTTCCCTGAAAAAAGCTTTTCCTAATCTTTTATGAATCTAAGCAAGGGCACAAATGGGAACCTTACACCTACAGCAATCTGCATATATAGATGATATTATGAGGAAATTCCTGGCATCAGAACTGCCATTCAAAAGAACATGCATTTGTAACTGTGATACTGCCAGATTAGTCTACATGGAAGGTTGGTCTAGTGATGGCATCACTATATACAGCAAAAGGCACAGCCTGTTTTAACATTGTTTGCTTTATCCACTGAATAATCACAATTTTTTCAATTCAAAAACAACTGGATTTAACACATCGTGTCATTAAAAAAAATAAGAAACTCAGAATCAAACTAACAGCAAGTCTTTTCATTACAAAATTTACTTGTTAAACATTCTGTGACCTAATAGAAAATATGGAAAACCCAAAGATTATAAGAACGAACTGACTATAAGAGTAAAATACATGAGGACAGTAAATAAGTATATGGGGGAGGGATTTCCTTTTCTTTTAAAAAAGAATAGAATCAGGATGGAGAGATGGCTCTGGTTAAGAGCACTGGCTGCTCTTCCAGAGGTCCTGAGTTCAATTTCCAGCAACCACATGGTGGCTCACAGTCATCTGTAGTAGGATCTGATGCCCTCTTCTGGTACAAAGTCATACATGCAGATAGAGCACTAAGGCATAAAATAAGTAAATCCTAAAATAACAACATCAACAAAGCAAAACAACCCCCAAAACAAAAAAGAAAAGAATCTACAAATAGTCCACATATTCAAAATTTAAGCTACTATATGAAAATTTCATTGCTAAAGAGAATAGCCAAGCACAATATTTAAATTGAGTGTAAAATCAATGCTAAAATAACAAAGCAGCATGCACAATGTTTTACTAGACAACATGGTTCTTTCTGTAAACAATAGTTCCAACCTGGGTCCAAGCTGGTCAGTACATTCCTTGCGTTTTCTTGTCTCTGGCCTGGACGGGTCAGAGGTGTTTTCTCCCATCCCACTCATCTTGAACACATATCAGCAACTATAACAGAAAACAGGTGGAAAAAGGCATGAAGAATACAATAAAGTGTCACATCATTTTTGCTAACACTTAAGGAACTATGACTTCAATTAGAAATTTGACAACAGTTATTAACATATTGTTTTAACATATGTACATGTATAATATAAAATTAAGAAGTAGCTTTCTCAAAAACAAAAAAAAAGTAGCTTTCTCCCCATTCTTTTTCTAACCTTGCTTAAAGGCTAAGCAGATGGAAAGGTAAACACACTTGAAATGAACCCTCCTACCTCACTGAGCCCAGGCTCTTTAGGCAGAGAATCACCAGCCCATGAGCTGTTCTCTGCCAGCCTGGGTCAGACACAGCCTCTGGTTTCGAGGCGCTCCCTCCCTCAACATGGAGATGACAGATGTTGTAAGGGGTTCCTCCCAGCCTCTGTTTTGGGTTGGCCAATGAGGAGTGTGTGCTGCAATAGCTCACCCGTGACAGACAGCCTGGAGAAGTGGGAGGGCCAAATTTAGTTAGCCTGGAAGATCTGACCCCCTTGTAGTGGCCCTGCAGAGGTCTCTAAAGCAGTGCCTTTCAAATGGAGGTTCTTCTTGCCTCCCTCAAGCCTCAAGGCTCGGCTCTACCTTCCAGCTCCTCTCTCTTCCTCTCTGGGCAGTCCACCTTCCTCTTAGGTTTCCTTTTTCACATTCTGTTAGAATGACTTTCCTTTACTCAGGAGTATAGCTGCTATCACCAAAGGTCTTAATAATGCTTCTGGGAAGAGGATCCTGACAGCTCCTGCAGGGTTCCCTTTGGTGAAAGGATACACAAGAAGTGTCTGCACACTGGTCACCACTGGAGCCAAATGTGACTTAGGTAGGCAAGGAGAAAATGACAGTTCTAAAAGAGACAAAGGGCCTATGGCAAGTTTAGAGAAAAACACTTGAGAGTTAGTTAATAACTAACTGTCTGCTTGGAAAAGAGAAATGGCACAGTCCCATGAGCCGGGAAGTCGCGTTTACACTTCTCCTAGAAACCCAATTCTATTCTCTTTCTCCTTCTTCCTGAATGACTGCTGCCCTCCTTTACTCTTGGTAGTGGTTTTTCCTCCTCTCTAGATTAGGAAAAGACAGGGAGAAGGTGAGGAACTACAGTAAAAACCACTAAGAACAAGGAAAACCGGCAAGGTGAGTTAAGGAAACCAGTGGAGCACACCTGAGCATCACGGCCACCTACCAGTCCAACTGTCTGTAGTCTCCTTGGGTGTAATGCTGGACCTCAGCCCCGGTGGCCCCACAGTTCTCCTCCAACCACTGTTCTGATCCAAGTGGGCAGTAGGGCCAATTGTTTTCTCTCTCTCTCTTTGAGAGTCATGTGTTTTACAGAACCAATTATTTTTAGGGAATCAAAATGAAGAAATGCTGTATCAGCAAGAGGGAGGTGGCCCCAATGGCACATTCAATTCAGGAGGTCACATGGAAGATACAATCTGAGAACTGATGCCTGAGCTTCCTGCAGGCAGGAGCAATGTAACCAAGTCTCAAGGTCCAGTTCTGTGCTTAGTTTTTTTGCTGGATAATAAGTACTGTATGTAGCTAATATCCATTTAGTACATATGCTATGTATTAAAGCTAATCTACAGTGTCAAAGCCCGACTCTGAAACCTGTATTGCCAAGCAGCCACAGGCTAACATCTAGGCCCAAGCTTTACCACATGGTTAGCCATGTGACCTTAAGACTTGCTACTGGCACATTAATGATGTTCTGCAAAATGTAGTCACCACTAGCATCCATAGCACAGGTTGCCAAGTCAAAGAGGAATGGGGAAAGGGGAGGGGACTCTTGCTCTTCACTAGAATGCCACTGCTGAGGCAGTCACTCCTCTCGTTAGTGTCACAGCCTTAACTGTCACCTGTGAGCTGTTCTTCATCCACCACAGACAGAGGCCTGTGGGAGAAGTAGCAAGATCTGAACTTCAGGGGCTTTTGTGCACAGATGCAATTGTTCTTTCACTATACAAAGCCTGCTTTCCTGCTGCTGTAGATAGACGTGCTGGTGGTAAACAGAGAGAGTGTTGAAACAGGGCAAAAGGAGATGAATTCATAAACAGGCAACACTCCAACACATACAAACAGCTCTTACTGCACTGTGATGTGCTCCTGTACTGCACTCCAAGAAACAGTTGTCCAGGCTGGGATAAAGGTAGAATGGATGATTTTTAACAGAGGGTTGGAGACCCAGAATACTACAGGAGGTATAACAGACAACATTCTACAAACATTCATTTTTACTAACTCTTTCTGAACCATAATTCCCAAGATTCCACTAATGACCATGCAGAAAAGAGCTTCCCATCTAGTAATCTTCCAAAATACGATTCAGGGAAGTCCCCCTAGAATTGACTGTCAACAAGTCATCAAAATACACGTATGATTCAACCATTAAATACAACCTTCACTAGACAGCAAAAACAAAATCTGCCCCCCCAAACAAACAAGAACCCCCATATAGGTAGATATAGGTGATATTTTATTGAAGATAAACCTTATTGGGCTGGAGAGATGGCTCAGAGGTTAAGAGCACCGACTATTCTTCCAAAGGTCCCGAGTTCAATTCCCAGCAACCACACGGTGGCTCACAACCATCGGTTATGAGATCTGGTGCCCTCTTCTGGTGTGCAGATATACATGGAAGCCGAATATTGTATACATGATAAATAAATAAAATCTTAAAAAAAAACTTATATAACTACCACCATGTGTGTTGACTCACACCAACAGAAAGGTCAGAGACCTCAACAGTTAGAATAAGTGCTTATTAGTCACAGAGAGTCTGTGTGGGATTGAACACTGGCTTAGTGTCACCTACCTCAAATTCATACCCAATAACAATCCAATATCCATGGGGTGCTGACACGCACATATTTCCACAACAGGACTTGAGAAGATGAGCAGATCAAGAGTGTGTATATTCTGGCCCAAGAATAGTAAAACTCACAAAGCATACCTCCGTATCTTATTTGTATCTTCTCCAGATTCACTTACAAAACACTATATTTGTACCATTAAAACGTTTGTTTTCTGCTGAATTTACTTATGTGGAAGTTTCCCTGTGTATTATATGATGGTTCCTTAAATACATTTCTTAAACATACAAAAGTTTCTACTTTTTTTTTCTTTTTTGAAACAGGGTTTCTCTGGGTAACAGCCCTAGCTGTCCTGCAACTGGCTCTATAGAGCAAGATCAGGCTGGCCTCGAACTCACAGAGATCTACGTGCCTCTGCCTCCCAAGTACTGGGATTAAAAGTGTGTGCCACCCTACTTTAGGCCTCAATGGTTTCTTTATTTTTGAGTCTGGCTCATACATTGTTTTTTTTTTTTTTTTTTTTTTCCCAGATAATTTCCTACATTACACCTCTCAAGTATACAAATCCACCAGCATTTACATCACAGAGTGAGAGGGCAAGTCAAAGAGGGACACCATGCTCCATCTCCCTGAGACAAGCCACATCGGCCCAGGCAATCACTGCCAATCATTGAGGGTAAATAAAAAGAAGGGCTAAGGACACCTACCCCAAGGAGGGAGAGTGGATAGTTTCAGGCTGGAGCAGGAAGGGAGGAGGGCAAGGCGGAATATGACAGCATCCAGGTAATGGCTGCTGTCCTGGAGCTCATAGGTTTGTGATCGGCTCTCACTAGGGTTAGTTAGACAAATGAGGAAGGCTCAATAGCGAGGCTCTGTGGATTTCTCAACCAGGGCACTCTCAGTCTTTTTCCATATCCTGTGTGAGGTTTGTTTGGCCCAAGTAGAAGGTGGCAGGGCCAGTGAGTTCACAGTTTTCCTCAACACTCAAGATTCTGTGCAGGGCAGAAATACCAAAGGCAGATGACAGAGATAAAATCGCTGACATCTGGCTTAAAGAATACCTAAAGCAAAATAAACTACATAGAGAGACATTTTCATGTATTTTTGTAGATCAAAGTTAAAAACCAATTTCCAGTATAAAAGTAGGAGGTAGAAAAGACTCAAGGCACATTCTACAGGTGGGTAAACAAACAGACCCTGCACATTTCTATGTTTCAACATTCCCATGAAATTAAAAGCCCTTGAGTCTGTCACTCTGAGACTGTTCAATGTAAATCACTGAAACTGATCATGACACAAGTAAAACTGAGGTAGCTGAGGATAATTACAGTGAGCAAGAGCAAACCGGTTTCTAACAGATGACAGGCGTTGTGAAGGACAAGCCTGGAGAAGAAGTTGCTATTTGTCCATTCTTGTTATCAATAGCACACAATAGCAGTGCTTTCAATGTGACAGAAGGCCCTTCCTCCCATCCCTTGATATCAGCTTGAATGTACTTGATAGAAGAAAAAAGAGCCACAAAATTCAGCAAGCTTCATTTTTTCAAAGTAGCGACATTCTGGGAGGGATGAACAATGCCCACAGTCAAGTTCTCAGCAAATGACAAAAAGCAATATAAAATGTCAAATCTCAACTCAATTAAAGAAGGCCCTCTTTCTTTCCCATGGAACTCATCCATCTAACTTAGAAGGCAGCAAAGCTGTTGCTTGCAAAACAGCCTCATAGCATTATAGCTAGTTAATCATCCAGAATTCATGCAAGCGATAATGTGCACTTTATCTCTTATCAGCACAGGCCATCTTCCAAACAAGGCCTGTAAAACTGTCAGATTTATTATATGCTGAACAAATTCAGTTAAAGGATAATATCCTTGCTTAAATCCACACAGAATAAAGTGAGCAAGCACCAGGACTCTTCCTAGCTCTAAAAAGAAATAGTCTTAGATTTGGGCCCTTATTAAGTCTCTGACATTGAGATGGAATTTACAAGGAATTTTTCCTGAGGCAAAGATGATACACAGAGAAAGTCAAAACAACTCCTTTTTATCATCTTCTGCAAGAGGAGGGCCTGCTGATGTGAGGACAGGAAGGCTTCCTTGGCCTACAAGGTCTTTCCAATCTGTTTTGTTTGTTTTTTTACTGTGTAGTCCTGGCTGTTCTCAAACTC